AGGCTCCCAGATCTGCTTACCCTTATTAGCAATAAGATGGGCTCTATTCTCATATTAACCATCTAAAAAACATGACACAAAAGGAAAAGGGATTAGGAGGGAAGACGGGAAGAATGAAAGTCAGACACTAGTTCTTAGCCAACTCAGGCATTTACAAGCATGGGCCTAGCCAGGATTTTTGTTAGGGGGGCAGAACCTCAGTTAGCTATGGATTTTTATTGATTTTGAGGGGGTCAACTGCCCCTCCCTTCCCCACCTTGGCTATGCCCATGTTTACAAGGACTTTATAGCTTCCCAATGAGGTGGGAAGATAGCTCCCTGCAGTTTCTCTGGCTGCTGGATGGGCCCAGGGTAATTTCCCTCTTGTCGTGATGGTCTTCCTGGGAGAAGAAATTCACATTTTCATATCAAAATAGGAAAAGGCACTAAAAGCAATAGAAATTGGTGGCCAAGATTAAGTCTGTAAAGAATGAGTTGAGATTAAATGTCTTGATCTTGTTCCAGGCACTGGGGCTCCCCTACACACAGGTGCTCCCCTATCCAACACTGCCTCTCCATTCATTTCAATGGAACATGCCAACCTTGAGCATCTATTCTTTCTATGTGTTCCGGTCAATGTTGGGTAGTGGCTGAAGTATTTTGGACTTGGAGCAAGAAGATCTGAGTTCAAAACTGACTGTCTCTCAGTCTAACCTGCCTCACGGGGTCGTTGTGAGAGTAAGCGTGGTGGTGGATTCATGGAGGAAGGATGAAATAAAATGTGAAATACTAATAAACAAACGAATGTGGAATTGGATTCGATGAAATTCTCATGCATCCAATTCATATTCATAACAACACACACAAGTCACTGGATTAGTGCAATGATGCATTGCATTTTATAAGGCTGTGGTTTTTGTGTGTGTGCCTCTAATTGGTTACAGATAGTCCTCTGTTTCATGCATTTGGGGTGCCTCAGAATCATGATGTATGAACAACCAACCATGTTATGGAAAGTTCCATTAGTCTGAAAGTTCCATTATTCTGAAAAACTAACACCCTGAAACCCTAATTATTTATGTTCAGTAAACATTTAGCTATGTCAGCATTCTGAAGGCTCTACAGTTTAGGTTAGGCTGTGTATGCATAGAGGCAATGCACAGTGCTGCTTGGTGGCTGTGAAACCTATTCAGAGATAATTAGGGATTAGTTCTTTCTCTCCCCACCCCCCCTCTCCAATTTGCTCCAGAAATAACCCAAAGTCACTGTATTAATATCCTGGACATACTTTGAGTGCCTGGAAAATTAATTCAGTCTCCAGATGGGATCCAGATCAGGCCTTTAGGCCCTGGCTTGCAACAATGTCAAGCATGCCAAACATCGCTACAGGGACAGGAAAATCTTAATTTTGGGTTTCATAATGATGATGCTCATATGGCTACGTTTGTTCCATATCAAAAACAATCTATTATAAATAAGGATGCAGACAAATGCCACGCAATATGGGAAGAATTTCTCACATTGAAATAACAATATCTAGTCCTGTTCCAAGATTTTCTGAATGCAGAGTCTTTTCTTAGATGGCAACCCTAAAGTGTATTTTTTAGGAAGTAAGCCCCATTGAATTTAGTGGGACACACTTCCATCTAAGCAGCCATAGAATCAAGCTGTGAATGAAAACGGCCCAGTTCACAAGTTATGGCAAAGCATAGTTAATGCTTTACTGTAAATGCGAAGATTGATCCTGCTTTGGTGCTCCCCAGTGTGATCCCTAGCTTAGTATTATGTCTGAAGTGGAGGTCATTGTTTGTTTCACTCAGACAAACCATGGTTGTTAAGCCAAGAACAAACCTTGGCTTCGGGCCTTGGTTTCGTTGAAGTGAATTAACCCATGACCCCCAGTTTGTATGAATTCTAAGTGAGGGATGGTGGTTTGTTGCTGCCACTTGCACTCAGGGAGGAGCAAAGCAAGAGTAAGCTGCATGTGCATGGTAAACCATGGTTTACTGTGACATAAGAATGAGATACGTGGAGCATTTTTAAAAGGTTAAGAAAAATGACTTCTTCGCTAACAGTGCAACCCAATCATATTTATTCGAAGTACCATATTTTTCGCTCTATAAGATGCACCAGACAACAAGATGCACCTAGTTTTTGGAGGAGGAAAACAAGAAAAAATAATATTCTGAATCTCAGAAGCCAGAACAGCAAGATGGATCGCTGCACAGTGAAAGCAGCAATCCCTCTTGCTGTTCTGGCTTCTGGGATAGCTGCTCAGCCTGCATTCACTCCATAAGACGCACACACATTTCCCCTTACTTTTTAGGAGGGAAAAAGTGAGTCTTATAGAGCAAAAAATACAGTAAATCCCATTATAGTCAGTACAGTTTATTCCCAGCTAAGTGTGCACCAGATTATATGTACACTTACTTGTGAATAGGTCCATTGAACACATTGGAACTTGCTCCAAACTAAACATATAGGATTGTGCTGAAGAGGTTGAATTTCGATCTGCTATTTTTATGCATGCATTTTGCGTAACAGTTTTTAAATCAATAGGCGTTTTACACTTGCTGTCAATTCTCATGATATGAGCAAGAGCAAGGAATGCAATAAGAAACCCAGGGGCCTTCGAGTGTAACGTAATGAAAGAGTGCCACCTCGTGGAGACAATAGATAAGTGTGTAAAACTGAAGATCATATATACTGTGGAATTTATATTAGATGAATTTTAAAAATTAGCCAAGTGCATAGTTCAATTTCTTGCCCAAATAAATGACCCGGGAATCAACAGGTGCTGGCTGTTCAAGTGATATTATCATAGCGCCACATCACTAATGTGTGACTAGGCTTTCAGTTCAGAGGTTTTCACCAGTATTCTGTGCTTGAAAACTCTGTATGTTACTTCTTCAGAAAAGAAAGCTTAGCCTAACTTAGAAAGCGAAATATAAAAGTTAAGTGGAGGATTACAGCACTCTTATAAAAAGGACAGCGAGGTCTTCAACGATCTTTTAGAATGGATGAGTGAGTACAGTTAAGGATAGAGCTTTCCCTGCCCTTTCAGGAGATGTGTGGAAGGGCGATTCTTGACTTTTATTTACGTAACGAATCTCTACCCTGCTTATTAACCCGAACCAGAACCCCCCCCCAAAGCAGTGAACACAAGCATCAAATTACAATAGAGCAAAAATAGAATTCCATCTAGAATTCCACGAAATTCAATTAAGACTTTTAACCAATATACACAGCCTATAAAACAACAGCACCCAAGACTATAGCCTCACTAATGCAGAGCCCAAACCGCTTTGAATAAATTTGGTGTTTATATACATAGCTTCAATAGCTTCCTTGAAGAGCTGCAAGGGTTCCTTCCCCAGCGTTGGATGAGAGACAAGGAACACAAGAAAGGTCCTGTTGTTTTATCTCTGCAAATTCAGGAAAGGGGCTGGCATGGGAAAGCAAATCCACTCTGTCACGGTGGATGGTTGGTTTGGGCCTTTGGGTTACTTCTGACAGCTGCAAATAGCTAACAGCTCCCTCTAGAACAGGCTTTACCCAACTTGGGTCTCGAGCTGTTTTTGAACTACAACTGCCACCATCTCTGAACACTGGTTCTGGTAGCTAGGGATGATGGACCTGTCCAATGCGTTGACAATGTTTTGATTTTTAACTACTGTTCCTCTCCTGTGGAACCCCAGGAGCGCTGAGAAACCCAGGAGCGCTGATAAATGTTAATGTAGTAACATTTCTAGATTTACAATGGTTCTGTACTCAATTCTCCCAACCCATGCGGGAACTGCAGTTACTATTATTATTATTATTATTATTATTATTATTATTACCCTACGCTTCATCCTAAGGTCCCAACACTAAAGGTTACAACAATAAAAACACAATGGTTAAAAACAGTTTTAAACAACTTAAAATTACAGTTTGCCATGTGAGCCCCACCTTCCTTGGGGTTCCTCAAGCCCTGCGTCCTGAGGAAACGCAGATGCCAGGGAACCCAGGCCAGGGAGCACATGAAGGGACCGTCAAAGGTCTGAGGTAATTATTGGGGCTACCTAGGGCTAATTAAGAAAGCCCTACGTGCCGTGAGGGAAGGCAGAAACCCCCCCTCCTTCCCTGAGGCTACTTAAGGCCTGTGTTCCCTGAGGGAAGGCAGAAGCTAGGAAGCCCAGGCTATGGAATTGCTGCCATCAGCTCCTGAAGTCAGCCTGAGGTTATTTAGCGCTACTCATTAACATTTTTAATTGTGAACTGCCTTGGCAAAAAAAAAGGCAGAATATAAATGCAACAAGCAACTAACTAAAAGTTCAACAAAAATGCCGTTTCCCTTGAACTAGCTTTTTTTTTTTTTTTAATCACACTAAGCCTTTTAGTAGCAGCAGTAAAAGGCATGGAGGGAATACGAAAATTTAGCGCTGAAAAGCTTCGGGGAAACCCCATTTGGATTCTTTACAGTGTTTGCCTCCCCGTGAGATGGCTTCCGCCAACATACCTAATTGCCAAGTTCTTTATATACACGATCTGTTTCTTGTCGTCATTTTACAAAAATTGCAGTTGCTATAACAACGTAATGCAATTGGCAAAACATCGCTGCTGTTTTCCGTAGTCAGGCTTGTGTGTGTGTGTGTCTTTCAGAAGATGAGCCATTTGAGCAAATTTCTGCAGTCGCCTACTCTCTAAAGTAGGTAGAAATGTGGAAGGTGTTCTGTGGGAAATTCTCAGTGTCATTCGGCACGAAGAGTAGTGTGAATCCAAAAAGGCCAATGCGTTTTGTGTCACAAACTTCTAGCACGACACAAGGGAGGTTGATGCTAGTTTCTCATAATTTTTTTCACATCGTTGCAGGGAGATTAGCTTGAAAAACTGCTTAGCCTTTCTGAGTTCACACTAACCTAGGGAGAGAGGCAACACAGTGAATGTAGAAGCAGAAAATGAGGGATAATGCATCATATCCAGACACACTCAATTTAAATCAACTAAACAATCAACATTTGTTCCAGTAGCACCTTAGAGACCAACTAAGTTTGTTATTGGTATGAGCTTTCGTGTGCATTTCAGTGTATCTGAAGAAGTGTGCATGCACACGAAAGCTCATACCAATAACAAACTTAGTTGGTCTTTAAGGTGCTACTGGAAGGAATTTTTTAATTTTGTTTTGACTACGGCAGACCAACACGGCTACTAACCTGTAATCAACATTTGGTCTAAGTTTGCGGTAGCCAATGTCCTGCCCTCCAGATGTTGGTCTCCAACTCCCATCAGCCCCAGTCAGCGTGGGATCATGGGAGTTGTAGTTCAACAGCATCTGGAGGGTACCACATTGATAACCTCAGCTCTGATATGTATTTGCATTTTGAGAGTCATTAGGTTAAAAGCTGGTGTGTGTGTGTGTGTGTGTGTGTGTGTGTGTGTGTGTGTCTCACAAGTATTCAAAATAAAGAGAATGTAATAAATGTTAAGTGCCACCATTGAAAGGACAGCCTGAGTTTGCATTTATGCACTGGCGCAAGCGGAAGCCTAACGCGGGAAGGGCCTGGTTTTGTTTTGCAGCCCCCTGTCTAAGCAAAGGAAAAATGTCATCAGCTGTGTAACTGTGCATGACTCCCCCTACTCTGATTCCTCCGGCAACAACAGCCCCTATGCAGTGCAGCACCGAGGAGGGAACAACAACGGAAACAGCTACGACACGAAGGGAGCGCCGGAAACGCATTGCAACGGCAATCCTCGGACGATCATCGTGCCGCCACTGAAAACGCAGGCCAGCGAGGTGTTAGTAGAATGTGATAACTTGGTACCAGGTAGGTTGGCGACATCTCTCAGTGTAAAGCAAAGGCCTTAGAATAGGAGTTCCCACTTCATTCAGCAGTTCCACAGCGAGTCTGTGGATTTGCGGTTGAAGACGGGAGATGGTAAATCCACTGGATTAAATATTCATGCTGCTTTTTAATTGTCCTTTTATTGTTGCGTTTATTCCTTCTGTCATATTTTATTGCATTGCAATTTCAATTCCATTGCAATGAAAGAAGCAAGAATGATACAATTTAAAATCATACAGCATGTAGCACAGCACACTACAAGTGTTGCAACAGGCAGAAATACCATTAATTGCTCCACCAAGATCCTCAGCAATTTTCAAGTGGGGGGAAACGGTTGTGAACCACTACCCTAGAGAAGAATCCCTTCTGCTTCGTGATCTGTCTTCCATGCTTTCAAATCCCTGCTTGGCCATTATTAGCAGGTTTGCTGCATTTCATTCATGTCACACAGCAAGGATGGGGAACCTGCGGTCCTTCAGATGTTGTTGTTGTTCCTAATACTATTTAGAATTTAAAGAATTTATATATCACTCTTGGTTCAGACATATCACAGAGGTATACTAAACAAGTAAAAATAAGATACAGTAACAATACATTAAATCCATCTGTAAAACCAGCAAGAACAGTGTCCAACAGTCTTGCACGGACTCCAACTTTCATTAGCCCAGGCATGTTCCATGGTCATTGGTGATTGGGCTTTGAGTCCAACAACATCTGGGAGGCCACAGGTTTTCTATCTTCATGGTACAAAAATATTTCATTTTATACAGACCAAGGGACTTTGCGGGGGGGGGGGGGTTGGAGGGGGAGTGAGTCCCTAGCAGTTATTTCATGCCTAGCAGACTCCACTGCAGACAACCTGGAAGGGCGCTCAGAAACGCTTTGCTTCTCCCTGCTCCTTATTTGCAGGTGCGAGAGGCTAAACTGTGGTTTGGCTTAGCAGTGTTTTAAGTTCTCTCCGTATAATCCACAAGCTGTACCCAACGTTTGTTCTTGGCTACAGCTCATGTTTAGTGAGGAGAGATCTCAGCCATGAGTTCCTGATGGCACGACGTGGTAAGTCAAACCTTGGTTTGGCTTGCCACCGTGCAGCAGCAAAAAGTCCTGGAGAGGAGTGTAGGGGCTACAGGCTCCTTTCCGGGAGTTTGCATGCTCTCGTGGTTAGTGTGTTGTGTGAACCAGCTCAGTGTGTCAGGTACCACGCATGGCCTTGGGAGAGAGTTGCCCTTCAGGTCTTGAATGGCCTTAAGATAAAGGCTTCTGATGACTATTAGGCATGCATGACACCATAAATGCACGCTCTTTCCCCTGCTGCAGTCACCACCAGTCACCACTCATCCTCCTACAAGTCGAAGTCCTCCAGCATCGTGACCTCCACCAGCGGTCACTCTTCAGGGAGCTCGTCTGGAGCCATTGCCTATAGGCAGCAGCGGCCAGGACCACACTTCCAGCAGCAGCAGCCTCTTAATCTCAGCCAGGTAAGCAAAGGGAGAGTGGAGAGAGGGCAGGCAGGCAGGAGGCTCCTGCAAAATCTTTCCAAGACTGCCCAAGAAGTGGCACGACCCACAGGAGACTGCTTATTTTCATTCAGACCAGCTTTCGCAGATTTCTTTGTGCTAATCTGGCTTCAAGTGCAGGGATTCTTTATTAATTTGAAGCATTTTCACCATGCTCTTTAGCTAAGAACGTGTTCCCAGAGTGGCGTAAAAAAAAAAAAAACAAAACAAAGCAGGAGGAAGACATTTCTTGCTCTCAGGCTTACGTTCTGAAAAGGCATGGCATGGCATGCAAGGAAAAAAAGGGTGGTGAGGGTGGAGGAAGAAAGAAACCAGCCACTAGTAATTAAAGTGACTCTTACAACAACTGGGTGGGAGGGAAGCAGTTCAAGTAGCTCGACAGAATTGCTGCTGCTACTTGAGAGTTTCTCAGCAGACGAGGTGGGAAAGCCTTGTGTTCCTTCTCCCTCTCTCTTGTTCTTTAGCCTGAAGCTGCTGCTTTTTGGATTACCCAAGAGTTAGGAAATAAGGTTGGGAACAGAGCTAATATATCTTTTCAAAGGATGTTCATGAAAGTGAGTGCCAAGTTCAGGCGCCTGCAACCATTGGTGAGGCCCAGATATCTTACCAGCTGCTGGCAAGGGGGTTGGGATGGGGCACAGGTAGAATGACAAGAGTGACAGTGGCCAATTCACCTCCCAAGAAGAGCATCTTGCCATCTTGAACGCCGGGGCCTCTCTTTAGACAATTTCAGGGTGCTTGTGCATCCCAGCTAGGAACTGAGCACTCATACAGGTATTTCAGATATTCCTTGCAGGAATTGGACCAGTGAATGGTTGCAGCATTGCAGGAAATGCAGTTTGCCAGGCAGAGGAGAGAGATTGCAACCGTCAGAGAAGCCAGAAATCCAGAAACTGTGCATGACGGAAAGGGATAGAAAATAGTTTGAGATTTAAGACTCTCGAGAGCATGCTGTTGTGCTTGAGAACTGTGGCAATTAAAACTTCACCCTCGTTTTGTTGGCGCTCCTCTCTGAACAGGCCCAGCAGCACATCACGACGGATCGCACAGGGAGTCACCGGCGGCAGCAAGCCTACATCACTCCGACAATTGCTCAGGCACCCTATTCCTTCCCACACAACAGCCCCAGCCACGGTACGGTCCACCCCCACCTGGCCGCGGCTGCAGCTGCTCACCTCCCCACGCAGCCTCATCTCTACACATACACTGCGCCGGCGGCTCTGGGCTCAACGGGGACGGTGGCCCACTTGGTGGCTTCCCAGGGGTCGGCCCGCCACGCTGTCCAGCACACCACATACCCAGCCAGCATCGTCCACCAGGTTCCCGTCAGCATGGGCCCTCGCGTCCTTCCATCGCCCACCATCCACCCAAGCCAGTATCAGGCTCAGTTTGCCCACCAGACCTATATCAGTGCGTCTCCAGCCTCTGTCTACACTGGATACCCCTTGAGCCCAACCAAGGTCAACCAGTACCCTTACATCTAAAACGCTGGAAGGAGAGAGCGGCAGGTGGGGAAACGGCGGCGGCACACACTGAGAGGGAAACGTGGCTGCTTTTGTTCTGAAGGACACCGCAGGCGAGCAAACAATGCAACGGGAGGCTCAAACGGAACTTGAACAGAGGAGACTTTGAGGAGGCGGAAGGAGAGTCGAGTCGATGCCAGTCCTGCGCTTTTTATTTAAAAAAGGAAAAAGAACAGAAAAAAGATAAAACAAAAAACAGAAAAACATTCTGCACCAAACTACGTAGTGGGAGAAGTGGAAGGGGCCATCGTTGTCTGGTCCCGTTTTTGGATAACTTCCCCAGTAGAACTTTTACAGATTATTTTCATCTGACTACGTTTAGGAATTTGCTGTTCAAAACCTCCTAATACAAGGTTTCATAGGTGTTTGGGTATATATATTTTTTAAATTAAAACCAAGAAGCATACAAATTAGGGATTTATCCAGAATTTCAAAAGGGTTATCGCTTTTGTCATTTGCACTGGTTGCTGTAACCCAAAATAAAGGAACAATGAAAAGTGTGATGTGTTTTCTGTTGGGAGGGGGCGAGCATAGGATGAGAGGTGCTTGGACTGTTCCAGCTCCCTCATTCTCAGGCTTGGCAGCAGGGGCAGGTTAGAGAAACACACACACACATACACAAACACAAACACACACACGCTAAGCAGAAAACACTATTGGGTGAAATCAGGGGCAACAGAGATATTTGTTCTTACTCTAAGCACCCTGGATAAATCCCTGAGAATTGTTGTTCTTAAAAGAAAAGCGTATTTAATAATGTACAATAGAATCTCATCTTCTTTACTTTGGAATATTTTTTTTCTTTCTTTCCTTTTGGGTAACCCTTCACCGTTTGCAGTCCAATCCTAACGTTCCCTGCTCCAGCAGATAAATGCATACGTTGGGACTGTGCTTGGTAGCTAACCCATCACAGCGCCACATAACATGGTGCCACGCTAATGTTGCCGTGACATTGCCGTCCCGTATTGTGAGCAGATAACACAAACCCAAATGTTTAGGATTGGGCTGTTAGTGTAGGAGTAGTTCTAGCTTGACCTTGGTAGAATGTAGCACTATATGACACATAACACCCTTTTTTCTACTTTGTGTTAAATTCCAATGATACCAATAGACTATTCCTCAATGTGATTGCACAAAAAAGTGATATAACATAGGCATGTAACAAATGTGATTGTCCAGGTATATATGTGTGTGTGTGTGTGTGTGTGTGAGAGAGAGTGTGTGTGTGTGAATGTGCGCATGGGCGCACTGATGCTGCCTTCTCTTGTGGTGTGGTCCTCAGCACAGCCATTGCAAACTGTCACAGTCTTAGTTTTACATCATTCCCTTGTAGTGCCTTACCAAACTACAGTTGCAGTTTTAAGGGTTTACTTCCACTGGTACGCCTAGAAACTGACTGAGGCTGGTTGGAAATTAATCTCAATTCTTTTTTCTTCTTTTGACTGTTCTTTATTGTTGCTTTCCTTCTTCTAGACTTTTTTGATTCTTCTTCTTATTATTATTATTTTCATCTTTATTGGGTAAGTTGCAAAGGTCAAGGGAGAGGGGTGGTGTGGAATTTGACTGGAGCAAGGTGAAAATGGGAATTTGAAAGGACCCAGACTGGCTTTTAGGCCCGAAAGCAGTTTTCCAAGTAGTTCCGTTTTGTTGGTGGAGTTACAGATTTAGCTTTCTGTCAGGATGCTTAGTTCTGCCACCTGGCCAATTCTTTGCAGCTTAGTATTCTTACTAAAGCATAAACAGAAGAAGAGGGTGAGTGAGTGAGTGAGGGCAGGCTTGCTTTGGATCAGAAACACGTAGTACCTCATGTTAAATTCCTATGTCTGGACTGGGGAGGTGGGGGGAGGTGATTAGCTGGGACAGACTGTATATATATATTCACTTGAATGCTTTCAGTGGGGGAAAAAGAAATAAGAGAATTGGGAGGACTTGTTTCTAGAGCATCAGACTCAGGTTTGCTCCAGAAGTTGCTTTTTTTCTGGAGAAGTGCTTGCACTGGCACTTGGGCAGCTGGGCATAGCCAAGGGCGCTGCTTTGAACTGGGTTACGCAACCTTAGCAGGAGGCCTGAGCCCAATGCCCGGCGGTAGGGGGTTGATCACTTCTAGGCAGTGTGTTCCGAAGGTCCTTTGCTTATGAAATGCTGGCGCTAAGCCTGACTTGGAGACGCAGTGATGAAACACGTCGTGGCTCACATGGTGCTTTCTTCATTCCCCCCCACCATCTCATTCGTATAGTGGATATTTTGTTTTAATCACTGTTCAGGTTTGCTATCTGGGCTCCGTATCCTCAGCTCCGAATAATCTGAACGCTCTTTTTTAAAACAAACAAAAACAAAACAGATTTCCAAAGAGAAGCTTTCGTACCATGAAGCAAAGTTTTGAAGGTTAGAGGGAAACCGTAAAACGCTACACCAATGCAAGTGGGTGCTTCTGCTGTGTCAGTGCTTAGTATTATTGTTGTTGTTGTCGTCGTCGTTTGTTCCCTGTGGAGATGTACTTGTATCGGTGGTCTGAGGCCTGTCTGCCTGCATAGCCGCTCAGTACCGCTACAGCTGTATTTGTGACTTCAGACAAAGGAGTGTTTAGGCAATATGGTAAGATGTTGGGATATGGCAGGTCAGTTAGCTGAGAGAAGAGGGAGGGATCCCAGGAGTGGTAAAGGCGAAAAGGTTTCTCAAGAGGTAAGTTGGCAAGAAAGACAAGCACTGTTGTAATATCTTGAAGCAGGCACTCGTGTTTTGCCTGGAGGGAGTGAGGAAGAGCTCTCACCATGAATACTTGGTTGAACACAGTTGTTTTCCTACGGCAAAACCCTCAAATTAACCCTCTTTTTTCTCTTTTAAAACCAAGCACCATTTGGTTTTCGTGTTTTCTTCCTTCTCCTCCTAAACATAATAATGTAAATCCTAGTCTGATCTTTCATTGGTTCATGCACCTTACGTTTTCACATTCTGGAGAAAACTCTTTCCAGTTCCTATCCCATTAAATAATTTCCCCCAATTTCTCAGTGTAACATGTTTCATTCCTTCCCTATCCTATCACATCTAGAGTGGAAGCTTCATGCTGCTTGTGTCATTGAGAGGAATAATTTTGTTATCTTGTTGTTGTATGATTGTTATTAATTTTAATGTGTTATAATTACGTTTTACTCTTGTTTTACTCTTGCACATGCATTCCTGCATCTTCGTATTATTATTATTATTATTATTATTATTATTATTATTCTCTCTAAATAGGGGATTGGTTGTTATTTAAGTAGGGTCCCCCCCCCCCCGTGTCAGTGGCCTCAGAATGCTTGTTACACATGTAGGATTCGCAGGGAAAGGGAGGAACAGGGAAACTGGTTGAGAAACTAGTCTAGATCACATGAAGGAAGAAGCAGGATTATAGACCCAGTTCAGTTGTAACAGGAAACCATGGTTTCCTGCTAAGTGAATGAGCTATGGCAAGTGCTGGGCTCTCAAGTTTCCCCCTTCTCACTGTTTTTTCCACACAATCAAGGAGTTGCTCAGAAGCATTCCTGTTTTAAGGTAACTACAATTCTCTATCATGTCTGAACTCTGGAAGCTGTGGTTTGTTGAAACTCTGGTTAGTGAGAACAAGCCAGGATCTAAAACCATGGTTTGATTTGGGCCTGTTCTCACTAACTGTAGTTTAAACAAGCTTCAGTTCCCTGAGTTTGAACACAGCAAGGAACTGTGGGTAGGTTAAACTCTGAAACGTGCATCTAAATCTCCTTTTCTGGTGCATGAAAGAGGAGAAGGGAAGGAGAGTGTGTGTGTAACCCCAAGGCTTGCTGCACCTCACTCACATAGCAGAAAATCATCCCCCCCCCAATTAGGTCTGAACGGTGCCATATTGTGACTGCTAAACAATGGCATACCATTGCAGTTTCTGATACCTTTATGTTATTTCAGAAGTGTGTTATTTTAGGCACAAGCCAAACAACTACTTCTAGCTTCAGAACTGGATTTAAGAAGGATACTGGAATCATGTAGACTGACCTTGCCTTATAGGAATTGATGTCTGATGCTTTGCTCTGATATCAAAGAACTTAATAAGCAAGGCTTTATTACCAGGTTGAAAGCGGTGGGGATGTTAAGACTCTGGATTTCATGGTCTCAGGCCCGACCCACCCATGAGGTGGAGTGAAGCAGCTGCCTCAGGCAGCAAAATCCCCTGAGGCGCCATCCCTGTGGGCACTCTGCCTGCCCACTACTTCTGCCAGAGGCAGGGCAGGCAGCACAGCTGCAGCGGAAGCAGTTCTTGTTTTCCCTCAAGTGATGAGATGGCTGGCTCTGAATGGTTTTGTGGGGCCTCGTCTTGAGGTGGTAGCATGTGTTAAGGTCGCTTATTTTATACAGTCATACCTTGGATCTCAAACGCCTTGGCTCCCAAACAAATCGGCTCCTGAATGGTCGAAACCCGGAAGTGAGTGTTCCGTTTTTCGAACGATTTTCGGAAGCCGAACGTCTGGCGCGGCTTCCGATTGGCTGTAGGAGCTTCCTGCAGCCAATCAGAAGCCACCCTTTGGTTTCTGAACATTTTGGAAGTCAAACAGACTTCCGGAACAGATTCCGTTCGACTTCCAATGCATGGTTGTAATGTGATACGGCTTGCTGCATTTGGGGGCCTTCCTGCTCATTCTGTGAGTGGGATCCTAGACTTCTGCCCCAAAATCCTGTTCTGGCTGCACCACTCAGAGAATGCTTTACAGTCCTGTAATCAGCTGAAGGTGTGAGTATTTGTAGTTAAGTTTTCCACTTTAAGAAATTCAGTGAGGAGGTTGTGCAGTTTCACCCAAGTGTGATGATATTTATGGTGCCAGTTAAAGAAAGTGCATGGTTCGGTGACTGGAGCTGTTGAGTGTTGAAAACTGAAAAACTCAGAAACTGAGTCTAAGGTATGGTTGTCTGTTCTGTCCTTGATTATTGCTCAAGATTAAAAGCTTGATTGTGTGGCAAAAGTAGTTTGCATATCCTCCTTCCCTAAGGACTTAATGCTTTCTGTTCGTAATTAATTCTTATTGATACTTGTGATGTTTTAAAGTTTTGTTAGTTGTACACAAAGATGATATTTATATTTTTAAGAACCTCCATCCTATTCTCTTTTTTAACACTCAACTGAGAATATTGATTCTCTTCTACAACATGGTTTTTTTTGCAGAGCATCTTCTTCAAGAGCACCATTACGCCATACTTGTTTAATTCATCTCCATTGGTTTATCAGGAATGCAAGTGATTGACTGGTTTGTGGCAAGAAAGGATTGGTTTTAATTACATAGACTGAAATGTTCTAGTTGTGTATTTTGCTTTGTTTTTGATATTTGTGCACACAGCTCTCTTTTTCAGTATAAAACGGTTCTGATTTTATACAACAGGAGACTGAAGGGCTTCGGATGTAGCGGCGACAAATTCATAGACTGTGCAGATGTGTGTTTTTCTCAAGCTAGGTTGGAAAAAGGACTGACTGTAAATCCCAGCCTGGTCAGAGGGTGGATTAGTTTAGAGGAGAGGCCAGAGTGAATGGGGAAGTAGCTAAATCAAGCATCCATAGATGAAATTGACGTTTGCCGTACTAAAGGAGAACTGTGAGTTTCTTCTACAGGCAGAGATGCAAACAGTGCTTTTCTGAACCTTTTCTTAAAAAACAAAACACACAATCATAGTAAGGTGCTGGTGTTTTTATTTTAATTTTATTTTTAGTTTGCTGGAGTCAACTGGAAAGAAGGGAGTAAGAAGGAAATATTGCTGTTTGGGGCATGTCCTTTGGAGGCTTTTTGTGGATCCATGAAGACGTCTGGTTAAAACCCATGAGAGGAAGTGACTGTTTAATAACAGTGGTGTAACAGTACTGGCATCTAGGTGAAATCATGGCTGAAATCCTAGGTACACTTCTGTGGAAGAAAGTCCCATTGAACTCCATGGGGCTTTCTTCCGTGTAGGGGTATATAGGAGTGCATAGTAAAATTGCAGCGCCTCAGAGAAGAAATGGTTTAATGTAGTGTGAACTTTGGAAGGAAGCAGCCTGTAAAATGGAGTAGGTTGCTGCCCTCTAAAAGTGTACATTTTCATGTTAACACAGTGATATAATAAGCCTTTACCCGTAGCAGTTTCCTCACGTAGGAAGGAGGCAGAGATTATTTTTATTTTGCAATTCTTAACAGTTTGTACTGTTCCAAATGACAGTATGCAATGAAGGAACTGCTTGCTTAATGAATGGGAGCAATGTCATTGGAGACCTGAGTAATTTTTCCCCTAAATCTTTTATCAGCTGACAGCACAATCCTATACATGTCTACTCAAAAGAGGTAAATTCATTTAAGTTCAATAGGACTTATTCCCAAGTAAGTGGGTATAGGACTGCAACCTAAACGCCATTGTTTTGAACTTCTTCCAGTTTCAGTGAATTTGGCCCTGTACTTAACATGATGACTAATAGTTTCATCTTCCCACCCTCCCCTTCATACTAGTTCACAGGCCAATGAAGGAATGCTGTCTCCCATCCATTGTTTTCTGTATTCTTAAGGGACTATACCTCAAAATTTGGCTTGAAATAAATTATGGTTTACCAAACTTGAAGGAAAATTTAAACCCACGCCTATCTTTAACCAAAGAAAAAAATTAATAAATATGAATAAATATGTACCTTAGAGTATGTCTCTGCCCATTCCAAGTTCCCCAGGCACATGTTGTGACTTTTTGGACAAGACACGCTACGGAGTACCATTTTTTCTTTATGTTCTTCCATGTTTGTCACACTTTTAATATTTTTATTTAACATATTGTGTTTGAAGAAGTTTGCTTGGGAGAATTCGGTCCTATTTGCTGCTGCTGTGCAAACTGTGACTAGGTGAAGTTTTGTGCCAGTGCTGGTAAAGATAATCCATCCCTAGAGATTCCCACTATTTGGGGGCTGATAGGAGCTGTGGGTCATCACCAAGGCACCAGGTTCATAAATGCTGTCGTGGGGCAGGTGGCATTCTCTGCCCCTTCCTGTGTCTGGTTTTTGTTCGGTTCCTACACACTATTGGTCTTTGCGCCTGCAGTGGGAGAAAGGGAGGACTAGGCACTCTTGAGCCACACTTCCAGTTCTCATTGTCTTACTGTTGTCTTATCTTACTGTATAAAACACCTGGTTCATAAGCTAAGACTTTCTTGACCCAGAAGTGTCAATCAGATAGAGCAAGGCACCCCGCATCCAACTCTGTACAATAGTGACATTATATAATGCGTTGTTGAGTTCCAGGTCACTTATGCAATATTTCCCGTCAGGCAAAGCTGATTTCTGCTGCTCTAGTACTGGGCCATGGTGAGAGATCATTGGGAAATGGCCCTTCTGGGTATGTTGCTCTGTTCTACCATCACACTCGGTGGCTGGATCGTGTTGTAGCTTTTCTTTAAATCATTGTCGTTGTAAGGGTTGGATTCGTATCAGTCGGCTGAAGAATTTAGCTTGCTTCTGCTTTCCCCTGTTCTTACTCGGTGGTGTGGGGGAATAACCACACAGGGATATTTATGTATTTGCAGGGCGTTAGGTGGCTGTGTATTTTGCAGGATTTGCCAAGCTGGGCCAGCGGAAGAATAATAATACCACTGAATGTAAACAAACAAAACGGAAAAAAAGCTCTTTTAGCAGAAGGAAACATATATGTAGCAAGTGTGTCATTTTGAGTGGGCAGAAGTTGTCAGGAGCCTCCGATAGCTTGTTTTTTCTGAATATAGCAAATAAGAGTGAAACTCTCGTTTCTTATGTACGGGTTAGTATTGTCCTTCCAGTTTTAGCAGTGCTGCTATACCAGACTTTTGTGTGCATATTAAGAAAAGAAAAGGTGTATATTAATCTTTTGCTTAATGTAGTTAAACTAAGAAAGGCAATACTAAAAGCATTCCCCCCCCCCAAAAAATGTGATGTTTTTACTGCACTGATAGAAATTGTGGCATCTCTAGTCTAACTCTTCAGCTGTAGGTGTAAGTTCCATGCCAGTTCGCACAAATATCTGTGTGTGAATGGTACCCATAGGCCTCTCTCTCCTTCCTTCCTTCCTTCCTTCCTTCCTTCCTTCCTTCCTTCTGTCATGAAAGAGGTGGGGCAACACTGCTGAAAGCAAATGAAATGTCTCACTTTCAGGACAAAGCTAAGAACTAAAGGTGCTGGGATGGAGCTAATAATAACAGAAAACTTTTTAAAAAGCCAGTACATTTTGAGGAAATTTGAAATACTTTGGTCTGGAATTTCTATTAGAAAATATATGCATTTGCCATCCATCTTTATTATTATTTTTTTTAACACTACTTTTTGTATTTTTCCTTTTTGCTTCTTTGCTATGGTTCTAGAGTAGACTCTGTGTTCTAGATGTTTCTAACTTTCTAGAGCTCACTGACTCCATTGGAAGCAAACCCACCTGATCAGGATTCTGGATCCCAGTTGGTTCAACAAGGATTCCAGAATTTTGATCAACACTTTGTTTTATAAATAAAGAAGGATTAAAATATTTCTCTTACAAAAAAAAACTGTGACCTAATGGCAATAATTACCTCAAACGTGGGCATTCATCTTGGTTTTAGCCTTTAAAAATAAAAACAAACAAACATGTAGCCAGCTTGAATTTGGGATTAAATATATATATATATATATAAAAATGCCCACCCTGGTCATTGTTGCTTTGAGTGATTCTTTAAAAATAAAACAATGAAACCAAGGATTAAATTACTCTTATATGTATTTTAATTAATTGTGATATTGAAATGCACATGTAATTATATATGTTCATTGCTACTGTAAAGTGCTTCGACCTTCTCGAAGATATGTAATGAATCACATTTTAAACCAATATGAACTGAACAACCGACTGTGGCTACTAAACATTTTCTGGTTGCATTTTATAGTTACGATGTTTTATAGTTTACATTGAAACTGGTACTTTCTAACTAAATGTTCTGTTTTAATTATACCTTCAGAATCTCAACACTGCTGTCCCTTTAACATTTTAATTTTTTGCTCTCGCTCTCTCTTTTTTAAGCAGAACTGTGTCTTCAATGTGTACATTCTGTTCTGAGATATAACATAGTAGGTAGAAGGTCAGACCAGATAATTCCAAAGTTAAGAGGAGCAAATCACTCCGTACATATTAACAAGTAAAGCCCAACAAATGACCTATTTATTTTTTAATTAAGAAGGAAGAAAATAATAATAATTGAAGCTCTTGGGGACGAATCAGGAAGCACAATAATTCCCAGCTAGCTCTTTCCTTTAGGCTCCCTTCCTAAACACACTTACCAAGGAGTAAGCCCCAACAAACACATTGTGACTTGCTTCTGAGTAAAGCGTGGGATTATAACCGCTGAAATCTTAACCTGAACAGACATAACCATTGTGAGAACCAAGTATTCAAAGCAAGCGGCGTATTGTATAGCGAGTGGCTTGGAGCTCGTGAACACACAGATGGGTAATGCTGCGGGCTTGCCAGCTTCATAATCATGGAAGCAGACCTGTCTGCTTAGAATTACCTTGTAAAAATGGCAATCGTGGATCACAGGTGCATTATGCATTTACCTGTCCCTGGAAATTTTTGGAAGCCCTGCACTTGGTATGCCTCTCCCAACGCCCCCAGGGTTGATCAATTGGCAGCTGTATCCATGGAAATCATAAAATGCAGGACTAGCTACCAGCAACTCATGCACATGTCTCACAGCTGGGAAACCTGTGATTAAGTCCTCAAGTACTGAGACAACAAATCCTTGGATTGTTTTCAGAAACAATGACAGGCAGTGCTATATAATTCTGTAATCATGCAGTCTATCTCATTTGTCACTTGGAACCCCCTAAGCTAAATATGAAGAACTTGACCAGTACCTTGTAAATTTAATTTGCCTATTAGCCAATGACAGTTTATCGGATGCTGTTCTGTTTTCATATTACCAGGTGTCGCGAATTATGTGTTTGGACGCAAACGGTCTTTTGCATTCGTTTTTCTCGTCGTACTTATGTTTGTTTGACGTGTGAGGGTTTCTTTCTCTTACTGTCCGAGTAACCAATGAATGGAAACGTTCTGCTGGGCAAAGAGGTGTTTTTAGACAATAAATCTACAGGAACTGGCACAAAAATGACTTTATCCAAACAGCTGGGCTTCATTGTGGAGCTGACAATCTCAGCAAAGTTCCTAACATTTGTTCAGCACTGGCAGATTAAGGAGTTGCAAGGAAAAGGCGAGGAACAGATTGTTTTTAGGTCCTTGTTAAAATCTCTGCTCCCACTAGATTCAAGGGGAGCCCCCCAGCCCCTTCAGCCAATTTAAAGCCATGGTTTCCACAGTATAGCTCACATTACCAAAGTGAACTTGGCATGTGGCTGTGCCGCCATTTTGAAAGCCTAATGGGAAGCCTGTTAGGATTTTAGGACTCAAGAAAACTGGAAGAGGTTGGGATTCCCTAGCCCTTGGGCATGGTTAACAGCAAATAACTCTTTTACCGCCCTTAGCAACCACTCATTTCCCCTTTTATATCAACGCTAGTCGTGGAAATATCACCATAACCCCACTGAAAGGGCTATAGATTGTCTTTCCAAACCCTGGGCTTGGAGTCTGTAAAGCACAAAGGAGTTTTTAACATAGCCGTCTCCTCAGAAAGGGAAATGCAGCCTTCCCTGCTTTCACTTTGGGGTGGTTGCAGACCTCTTTTCCTCTATACATGTTGGGATTTTTTTCCCTTTCTGAGGTGGTATTTCCCTCGGCTATTCCACAGCACGGCTCTCTGAGGTGCAGAAAACACCTCCTCATCCCTTGTGCTTTACCAGCGAAGTTAAAAATATAAAGCTAGGCATTTCCCAGTGCCAAATTTTTATACAGACAGAATTGGAATGTATAATCTGAAAATTCTATACCAAAATCAGTATTTTTTTTTCTTTCAAAAGAGGGGGAAATAATAGCTTTATTAGAAAGGGGAGGAAGAAAGGGGATATATTGGCCGTTAGAGTCTTTTTGTGGTAGTTAAAATAAAAATTGGGGAAGGTATTTGTGAATATATGGACTCTTTTAACCCATAGTTGAAGGGATGTTTTATACCTCTTAATTTCGCATAAACCCAGTCTACTTTGAATTGAATGAAAAACACATACTACATGAAAAAAAAATTTTTTTAGGGAGGGGCAAAATAATTGAAATATATTCCAATGCAGAAAGACACCTCCCCACCCTTCCACCTGATTTATATTTGTAAGGCTTTTGCTTTTTTTCTAGATACAGTATCATCTCAGTTCAAAAAACCCATGAAAGCCCTGGTTGGTTGTATTCTTTCACTGTACGGTTCTGTATTGAGTGTTAATCCATGTTAAAACTTTGTGAAAATTATTGTGTGCAACCGTATTTTCTTGTGTATTGTTTCTTTTCTTTTCTTTTTCTTTTCTGTGAATTGTCCCCTTTGTTTCCTTTCTTTCCTCCCACTTTTGTTATTTTTCTGTTTTGTTTTCTTCTGGTAATGTCTTTGGGGGAAAAAAAAAACCAGAAAAGAAACTGACGTGTTGTAGAACTATATGTAACCTATTCCTTAGTCTCATATTATAGGTATGTTATAAGAATGGATATTTTACTTGGCTTTAGAATGTTTTACAAGAAAACTAATTCTTAACCAATCAAGTTCTTGCTACTAAAAAAAAGAAAAAAAATGCTTGTGTTTCTCATCATGACGTTGTGTGCTTCTAATTAATAATCATTTTCGTTGTAGAAAAATGGAGTGAATTTATATTAGACTTGAAAACTAATAATAGCATTGTAAATTTATGAGATGATTTTAACAGAAAAAAAGCATTATAGAAGAATATAGTTATTTTAATTGTAATATTACTAACTGTAGGGTGAGAAAGGGCCCCCCGTTGTGGTGAACTATGTTATAGCTTGTTATTCACAGTTTCTTTTTGATCATTTTTTCGGTCTCTGAGGTGAAACGAGTTATTAATCAGAATTTGTAAACTCACATATGCATATTGTATATGTGTAGAAATGTAATCACACTTTGTCTTGGAATTACATTAAACTGTTTTAAGTCACTGCATCGTCTGCTAGTCTTTTAACTGGCATGGGTGTGATCGCTATCCTGTATGTATCTGAGTAAGTTTTATTGAATTTAATGGGACTAATGGCCAGGTAAGTGAGAACAGGATTGCAGCCTTAGGCTTGCTTTTAGTTTCCTCCAAAAGTCTTGGAAACAGCATGTGATGAAGCTTGAGCTTGTGTTAGGTACCATTTTTAATATCTGTCCTGCCCGATAGGATGGTTGCCTTTTCTGAGAAGCAGAAAATGTTGGAGATCGTAGACAAGTTGCAATTGATATGTGATACCTTGTTTTCTCATTTCCTATTTTGTTCGGTGTCCTAGTCAGTTATGATTGATTGGTTAGGAATGATAAATGATTTTTATGTATTCTGTCTGTCTTTATCCACTGGGATTCTCAATTTTAATATTTAGTTTACTCTATCCCCTCTCCCTTTTATAGTCAAAATGGGCCTCCCAAAACACCAACAATTAATACAAGTAATATTAGGGATATGTGGGTGGAGGCTGTCTCTTCTGAACTCTGATCATGGGTGAGAAGGCTCAGGCTTTCCCCATCTCTCAATTGGAAAACAAATTGAAACACACAAAAAGTCCTTTCACTGACCTTCCATTTGCTTGACCCTGGCAGTAAAGTGGTAGCCAATATTACCTGGGGAAGATAAGATCAAACCAAAAGCCTATCAAGCCCAGCATCTTCTTCTCACAAAGCCCAGCCAGATGACCACAGGAAGCCTGTGAGGGTAACCTGAGTGCAAGAGCACACTCACAACTTGTGGTTTCCAAAAAACAGGATTCAGATACGTACTGACTCTTGACAGTGGAGGCAGAACATAGCCATCCTAGCTAGGAGCCATTGAGAGACTTACTCTGCATGAAGTGGTCCATGGCTGTTTTATAGCTGCCCAAGTCGTTGGCCATCGCTGCATCATTTCACATTTCACAGCTTCGCTACTGTACTGTATGAAGTATATTCTTCTGTCTGTCCCGAATCTTCCAACATTCAGCTTCCATTTTTCTCTGCTCTCTCTCTGCTTGCTTCCTAGAGGCCATGAATACTTTTACACAACCCTTACCATGTCTCCCCCTTAGCCACCTTTTCTCTAAACTAAAATCCCTCATCTGTGGGGCTGCAGGTTTCCCATGTCTGTACTACATAATCAGCCAGTGAACGTGTGGCGACTCCTTTAGCAGGCTAGCAGGAACCACATAGACTAGAATCTGTCTTGTCCTCTTAATGTCAGCTGTTCCATTGCAATAAAGCGGCCAGCCATTATAACCAATTCATTAAGAACATTAACAATTAGGCAGCAGGCAACAATCAATATTCCTTTGTCCGGGGGGGAAATAGAATGTCATGTGCCCTTTACAATCCTGACTCCTCTGCAGGGGAAGCAAAGAAACTTGACTGTTCTTAATGTTGCATGTTTATTAAGATCAGTCAGTATAATGAGTATTTTTATTTTAATAGTGAATATCTTGAACGTATCGTTTATCTCTTTTAGTCCTCCTGAATATGTTATTGCACCAAAGCATGTGGGCATTTTGAATCTTAAAAACGTTGGTTTTTCAATATTTAATCATTATTTTTCCTCTCCATCCCCCCCACACCCCCAAGTCCCCTCACCCCCAGCTTATCTCTCTTTTGGTGTGGCATTCTTTCCCTGTGTGTCTGATGATATAAGGCAGCTTCCCAAATCTCTGTCTTCCTCCGTTATAAAGAGAATGGCAGCAGACCTGGGGGCTCATGGAAGAAACCTCTTCTCCCTCTCCCCCCTTGAGATATTTGAAGATGGCTATCCTATCTCCTCTCGGTCTCCTCTTTTGTCCAGGCTAAACATACCCAGCTCATCCATTCCTCACTAATCACTAGCATGTTGAAGCTCTGCAGTAGAAAGCAACACAGGAAGCTGCTTATACAGAGTCAGGCGAATTGGTTCATCTAGCCCAGTAGTGTCCACACTGTCTGGCAGCAGCTCTTCAGGGTTTAAGGCAGGGCTCTCTCCCAGCCCTGCCTGGAGCTACAAGGCCTTGAATCTGAGAGCTGCTGCATGCAAAAACACAGGCGCTACCACTTATGGCCTGGGCTTTTGTTATTTTTTTCTTCTTAAACGCAAATTGGATTATTAAAAGTTGAATTGCAATATGTTTCTAAGGTGAGATTTTTTTTACTGTAATTTGTGTTTTGTACTTGTAATGCCGAAAAGTCTAAAATGCCTTTAAATTCTGTGACATTTGTGTGAAAGCCTTAAGTAAGTGAAGCTAAATTCAGTTTAAGGCAGCAAAACCTGTATCTTGAAACTGAATTGTGCTGGATCACATCTAACCATTGTGTGACAAGCAGAAATTCACCAGGTTCATATTTTGTTGGTATGGGAGTACTGGCGTTTCTGACATTTTACACCACGATGTCCCTTTGTTAAGCACATTTCCACTTCAGTATTCTGCACTGTCCTCCACCATCCAGCAGAGGATGCTAATCATCTGTTTCCTTAAGCGATGGTTAGACCATACTAAGCTTCGATCTATTTTTAAACTCATGCACACTCCTCTTCATCGTAACGTCTTCTGCTGTGGCAATAATGGGATGCAAATTTCGCCCTTCCATCTCCTCATGCGGAATGTTGCATAAATGTGGAATATAAATGAAATCTGGTGGGGGTTTTTTTGAAACACGAAAAAGATAGGAACACAATTATGAACGCTTTAACAGCTGTTTGCGAGTGAAGAGGAGGAAAGCTGGACCATGAATAATCTGCTGTGTGGATTAGGTAAAGGGACCCCTGAGCATTAGGTCCAGTCGTGACCTACTCTGGGGTTGCGGCACTCATCTCGCTTTATTGGCCGAGGGAGCCGGCGTACAGCTTCAGAGTCATGTGGCCAGCATGACTAAGCCGCTTCTGGCGAACCAGAGCAGCGCACGGAAACACCGTTTACCTTCCCGCTGGAGCGGTACCTATTTATCTACTGGCACTTTGACGTGTTTCGAACTGCTAGGTTGGCAGGAGCAGGCACTGAGCAACGGGAGCTCACCCCATCAGGGGGATTCGAACCGCCGACCTTCTGATCAGCAAGTCCTAGGCTCTGTGGTTTAACCCACAGCGCCACCCACGTCCCTCTGCTGTGTGGATTTGGTTGTTGTAAATTTGAGTTTCTTGATCTGCTAGGATCATAAACTACCATTTGATCCTGGCCCATTAGAACAAACCATGGTTTAAATAAAGCGAGGGAAATGTGTGGCCCTTCACATATTGTTGGACTACAACTCCCATAATCCCTGACCACAGGCCACACTAACTGGCCTGCATCTCTCAAGAAGGCCAAAGAGGATTATAGGGATTGTAATTCAGCAACATCTCGTGGCCGACAATTTCCCACTCCTGGTTTAAACTAACCAGAGTTTCCCAGAAGTGGCCCCAGTAGCTCACTGATGGCTAGTACAGTGTTTTGAGGATTGAGGTGCCATGATCCCCTCTCCCTGCTTCTGTACAACAACTGAGCAATGGCATTCTGCATCGGCAGCAGCTTCTGAACCATTCTCAAGGGTAGCCCCATGTAGAGTGCATTGTAGTAGTCTGTACGAGAGGCTAGCTGTGCATGGGTAACAGAGGCCAAACTATTTCAGCTGTAGCCAGCCAAAGCTGGGCCTAGGCATTCTTCACCACTGAAGCCACATGGGCCCTCCGGCCCAAGGAACACCTTCAAGATATGGACCTTCTCTTTCAGGATGAGTGCTACCCCATACGGATTGGGAATTTCCACAGTTTCTAGACTTGGGGAACTGCTGAGCCATAGCACCTCCATTTTGTAAGGAGTCGGCGTCCATTTATTGGTTCTCATCCAGCCAGTTGCTCATTCCAGATGCTTTTCCAGCACTCCACTGTACAGCCTCCACTGATTCAGATGGAATGGGGAAACAAGAGCTGGGTATCACCTGCCTATTGGTGCGACTGCACTCCTAATCCCAGGATGATGCCTCCCAGCGGTTTTACATAGATGTTGAATGGCTTGGGGAGCAAGACGGAACCTTGTAGGACCCAACAGGTAGGTCCAAACAGCAACCTGCCAATACTATTCTAGTGAGCCAGTAAATACAACTGGAACCATTGCAACATAGGAGCCAGCTCTCAGGGGCTTTGGGGCCCCCAATAAAATATTTGTGGATGCTGTCCCCCCCCCAAGTTGATGAGAATTAACTTTCAAATGGCGTTGTGTGCACTGCATAATGTGTTCAGTCATGCAGGCCCCCCAATATTTTATTCAATGCAACCTGCACTGCAATGCAACTGGGCGGTACATGCGCCATGGCTCTGGGTCAAGGGAGGGATTTTCCTGTGGGCGAGTGTGATTCTACACATGCCCAGCACCCTAAACTGGATTGGTTCTGCCCCCACCTCAGCTTACAACCCTCCCAGGGTGACAGAGCTATCTGAAGGAGAGTCTTAGGATCTCATCCTATGGGCAGGTTGATAGAAGAATCCCCCCATTCCACATGAGGCAGAACATTGTCTCTTTTGTCTTTTCAGAACCTATTGAAAACCTCCTTTCAACAGGTCTCTTAAATGGAGATCATTATCCCAGTCTGCATCTGTATTGGAGCCATTCTTTTAAGTGGAATCATTTTTAAATGTCTGTGTGCTGTGTATGCATGTAATTGTTTTATATAGCGAACTTTTTTTTTGGATTTACTCTTTTCTATAGAATCATTTTAGTGTTGGAAGGGACCCTAAGGATCTTCTAGTCCACCCCCTGCAGTGCAGGAATCATGCATTTGTTGTATCATCAGATATTTTATTGTGGCAACCCACTCTGAGACCTTATGGTGAAATGAGGATGGTGAGAAATCTAACAAAATAAACATTGCATCAAGCTCTCAGGGCACAAATCATATATGAAGCATCATATAAGATTTCCTGTGATGTGCAAAAGAATATAAACTTGAAAAAAAAGTGTCTGGACCACCCTGAGATCTATGGGTAAAGGTAAAGATACCCCTAGTC